CGCTCCATGTTTGTAAAGGGGCCTCATTACTGGCGATGTAGATGCTCGTACTGAACATAGTCGAAGCGAAACACAAATCTCCGGGCTCCGAACGCTCGTAAGAACTGGGGGAACGCTGAACGGATTTTCTCGTTAACATCTGATATTGGACAGAGCTTCCGAAATTTGTCGACACATTTCAATTCCGGTTAACTTCGTGTCTCGCCGAAAATGTATCCAGGACAAAAAAAATGTTTCAGGCAAAAGATTTAGATAAAAGTCGAGAATGAAATATATATTTTTTTTGTGTGTGTGAAATAAGTCTTACGGTTTCCAAGGTACTTAAACAAAGTCACTTCAAGCAGTGGCATGTCGTAGGCTCAGTGAGCAGCCTCTTTCACAGATTTAAAACCCAGAAGACGTTTCGCTATGCATACATTTCCTAACTTGCACGTTATTAATTAGGTTTAGGGTCTATATCAGACTTTACCAGATACTTTCACGAACAACTCAGTTGCTAGCTACTAGGTCTCAGGCCGAAACGACTTTAGCATTTAACATTCTATGCTACGCGTAAAGAACGCCTAACACTCGCCGTTGACACGGATTATACCTTTAGGAAACGTCATGCCGTTAATTTATACGTAATTCAGTGCCGAAAATTAACATTACTTTTCTGAAGTTTCCTCTTCTGGGAAAGGCAGTTCAAAAGGAGCGACACGACCCACGTTACATCATTCTTGCACTGTTTAATTCACACGTGGTTCATCGAATAAAGTATTTCGCGTGGCCGCCATATTGGTAAAATCCCGGTCCTCCAGAACTATGTCCCCGTATTAAGCGTCGTCGTACGTTTGGCTGGTGGACGAGGGGGCAACAGGCAGCGTCTCATCCGTACTCACGTTCATTCAACGGAATCCGAAACGCCTTACTCACAATTATAGACACTGTTATGGAAGTTTTAACGTGAGAAATTTAGCGTCTCCATGTCGTGTGTAAACACGAAATTTGTTTTAAAAAAAAGGTGTTTAGTTAGTACATGTGTGTTGTGTTGTATCTAGACATTGTCACCAACTAGCAAATGGCGCAGTTCATCAGCATCAATCATCAGTTGCTATTGTGCACGTTATGTCAATCACAGAAACAGCTTTCAGAGCGCACCCGGGCGGAACAGACGGAAATCTGTGTCCAGCCACTCAGAGGCAAGATCAAAGGTCGAAGGCATTTGCAAACACGGACAAGTGTTCGAACCTAGGCCAGGGCACCTTCATTCTCGCTCCACGCAAATTCTGACACAGCACGTCAAAGATGAATCGCATCAGTTTCTGGCCGTGTCCTTCCCGATTCATACTTCGTCACACGCTACACTTAACCTATGAAGTCGACAAAGCATCGTTAAATTATCACAGAAAGAAATACGTAAGAGAGTGAAAACTGGGCTGGGTGGACCTTCGTGCCATCTTCATCTCGCAGCGTTCGTGATTAGTAGGGAATGTAGCACGCATGAGAGAAGGCGCTCGCTAGAATTCGACGGAGAAGAATCTATTTCCCTCGTGCCTTCATCTCCTCGCCTCCAAAAAACTCGTCAAATGGGCCGTGGACGATTTCGTTGAGAACTGCTTACGTTTTGACACAGCGTCAGTAAACAACGCCTACAGATTTCGCCGAGGATGTCCGACTGTGGGGTACAATGAACGACGTATGTAGGTCACGTTAGACTACTGACCTGGCATCAACAGAGTCCTGAATTTTATTCCAACAGCTGCAGCATCTTAAAATTTAAAAAAAAAATAAGAATTCTGTAACCCGAAGATGGCAGCGCAGACAACGCCCGAAACGCAATTAGTCTATCGTTGGCAGATATTCAATAACAAGTCTAAGTCACCAGTTTGTGGTACAATAGACTGACTTATTGGTGGAGATTACGCACAGAATCTGAGATCATAAGTTGTCAACATGGTCTTTTAGGTTGGCACGAAAGTTTCGGAGGAACATACTGACGCCTTGAGTCATTTTTAGCCCTGATGATGGAGGCAGTATTTTCCTCCGAAACGTTTGCATGTACCTGCAAGTCCACGAGGTGTTACTACCCAGAACACGAAGATGGCAACGTGTTATTTTAAAATATGTGTTTCGCTCGTAGCATGAGACACTTCTTCACGAACAGAGAGACAATTACAGTTGCTGTGTGTCCACAACTTAATCTTGTTCGCGCATTACATGTGCGTTAATAAAGCGTTGTGAAAACCGATTTTTACGTCCATATGAAAATTGTGTGGAAAATTAAAAGCAAGTTCGACCCGGGAATTAAGCGATCTCACGCGTTAAGCGACTGTGGCCACATTCTTCAAAATGGCGTCTGTTCCAGGGCTAAAAACTGCAGCGCTGTGACTGGCAATGTACATCCTTTTAAGCAAAGTAGCTGGGACTCATGCAAAACAGCGTGGCAAACAGACAAATAAGAAATATCGAATATTAGTTGCGTCCTAGACCCATCGCATCTCATCGCCAGTGTGACGTAGGCAGCCAGGCACTTCGTTTCGTGGGAGTAGGTCTGCCTGTGGAAATAACCGGGGGGCTTATTAGCACCTTCGTGTTTGCCCAGACACTCACCCAGGTACAAACACTCTTGGGTTTCTCTCTTTCACCATGGCAACAGAAAGGAGCTTTCCAACATTCGTTACACCAGGGTCGGTAAACTACGACCAGCGACCCGATGGCGGCTTCAGAAAGAATCTAAACTTACACAGCAACAAGAACTGGCGGAACTATCGGCACGACCCAGTTCTGAATCGTTCTGCCTCCATCGTCAAGGCAGCAACGACCTCTGAAACGTCGGTCCACGTCTACCAGACAAAGACAGTCATCGCTGTACCCACAATTCTGGGTCTGGCCAATCAGAGTCCTACTCTCGAAGCTCTCACCATCCCTGCCGGGAAATAAGGTTCATCGCCGCATTCACAACAGCTTACTAATGGTCCCTATCCTGAGCCAGATTAATCCAGAGCCTCAACTGAGTGAAAACGAAATATGTTTTGTACGACGTCGAATGTCGAACGTAACAGCTGATGAACCGGAAGATGTCGGGAGAATCCCCGGAAGAGAAAATCTGTCGACCGCTGTTCGCTCCATTCACTGACTGAACCATGAAACCCTCGGCGGTGGCAAGAGGGACTATTTCCTATACATCGATAAGTATCGAGAGAGAGAGAGAGACCGTTTGGTAGTCACAGCTCTGAAGATGGAGACAGTAAGCGTCTCCGAAACGTCGTCAGT